ATCATAAATCAGATAAACTTAAATAGGCATCAGACTTAGGAAAACCTGTACCCCTCAATCTTTTTAAGGTGAATCATGTTATAGTTTACCTGGAAATTAGACACCTAAATAATGTGTCACAGCATATGTTATTACTAATAACTCAATGTCACATATAAATACCAAAAAAATCGAGTTAAACTTAGATGTATGGTAACCTTTGAGATATTTATCTAGAAAGTAGCAAGAATATGAGAAATAAGTTGTTTCAGATTTGTTTTGATTCACTTTATACCCCAGTGGTTATCTGAGAAATGGAAAGGATTTAATCATTCATGGAAGAAGTAGTGTCCAGATTCCAGAGACTAAGTTGGACACTAGGAATATAGGATAGCCAGGGGAGGCAGTGCTGCAATGATAATATCACTTGAGGGGCATTCCAGTACCAGATGGTGAAATTTGAACTTAACACAATTGCAGTAGAGTGATGGTCTCGTGGTGACCATCTAACCAGAAAAACCCATCTGGTTTACTCATGCTCTGTAGGGAAAGACATCTGCCATTTTTACCTGGTCTGGCATACAAGTGATTCCAAACTCTTAGCAACATGGTTGACTCTCAACTGCTGTCTGGGTATTTAGGCATGGGCAGTAAATGCTGGCCTAACCAGCAATGTCTACATTCTAAGAATAAATAAAAAGCTTAAAGTGCACTATAAATAAGCTATGTTTTGGCCAGACATGTAATGTAGACAAAGTGCATCTGTGTGCATTGCAGTAATGAGCATTGTAAAAATAGCCAACACTGTAATCATGCACATTGTTAGTACAATGTCAGATTAATAGTTTGGGTTTATCACAAGGCAGCGATGTAGTTTCTAAGGTTAATATGAACTTGATGGAAGTACAATGTATCATTGGACAGCTTTCAAGTTAATCTTAACTTTTTTGATTATAAAAATGTGACAGTTTTAGTGTATTAGCTACAGTTGATTTTGACATCTTTCATTGTTTTCCTACAAGAATTCCTCATCTAAAGAGCTTTCCCCAGTCCTCTTCCAACTGTAACTGCAGTTGTAATGTCAATTTAGGCAATTTGACAGATTATAAATTTGTTGTCATCAGCCAAAAATACACATTTGATTTGAATTGCGAAACGCTGCGATGAAGAGATCATTACAAATCCTTGCCCCCAAAGTTGAAGCTTTGTCAGTGCACATTAAGTTTGTACCTGAAATTGAGAAATTACTTTAAGATTTCAATATCAAAACTGAGCTAAAATGTAAATATGGATGGAAAAATTCTAAAATCATTTGAGGATATATTGGGAGGTTATTGAAGATCAAGAGACTGACTCTTGACAACTTCCAGCCCAGTTATTTGAAGAAATTAGTTCAAGCAATCACAAGTCCACCTGTGGATATTCCCTCTGGGGAATACCACTAGTCACATCTTACTAATCAGAGCACATTCTCTAACCTGTACGTCCTACCTCACAACCAATTGCCAACCTATGTTACAAGGTTACGTATAGTTCCAGGAACTCTTATTTTCATTAATAATTTATCACTTTGTTAAATAGAACTTTGTTAAATGCCTTCTCTAAGTTCATAAAAACATCATCATTAACAGTATAGCATTCACATTATCGCTTCCTTGGAGGGGGTTAGAAATGGGAAGGGCAAGGCCATCAAGAATGAAATTTTAAAATGAAGGTATTAGTGGACTGGGAATAGGTCAGACAGTTCAGGCAGCGACAGGCAAAGGGATGATGTTAGTGTTACGGGCATTAGAGTTTTGGCATCTAGAATGTAGAATTCTAAGACAGCATTAGTATTCTTGTCTAGAGTGTTTCAGCAGCTGGTGAGTTGAGGTAGGCAATGAGGAGAATGTCGGACTAGGCAGTCTTCTTGAACCACTGCAAAACGTATGGTGTAAGTACACCAAGAGGGCTGTTGGTTCAGGAGTTCTAGGTTTTTTTACAGTGAAGGAACGAGAATAATGTGTCAGGATGGTGTGCGGCTTGGAAAAGAAGTTGCGTGTGGAGTTCGCAAGAACTTGCTTTCCTTGACTTTCTGTTGGGATGGATTGTAGGCAACGTCATTTTCATGGGCCACCGTGGCACATCGGAGCAACTTTGTATGCGTGCAGACACGCAGCTTAGAGGGAACATTGATTGTGGATTTGAAAGGTGCTGTCGAAAAAGCCTTGGCAAGTTGCTGTTGTGTATCCCATAGATGTTATATGCTGTAGCCAAAGTGTGATGGTGACGATGGAACTAATGACCAAGATAGTGGATAAGGTATCAAGCTGCTTGACCTGAAGTCCATGTGGCTTACCATAATTCCCAAAATTTGACGACTTCTTGTAGCCATGGCGCTTATGCGGCTACTCCAGTTAAATTTCTGACCAGTGGTGACTCCATTTCAGAATGTTGATCACGGCAGATTCAGTGATGTTAATGCTACTGTATGTCAATCAAACTTTGATCAGAGGTTCTTTTGTCGATAATTGCTTACCAGCAATGTGGAACAATCCTGAATGTAATCCATGTTTTGTAACATTGGATGTACACCTACATGCAGTACTGATCATTGACTAATAGTGGACAATTGAATTGCTCCTGTAAGTGAGAGGATTATTGTCCGTCAAAGGTCATTCAAAGTTTGTGGAACAAATTCTTAGGTCAAGCCATTGAATTCAATCAAAAATCCAGACTGGAGTGTTACCAGCATTTTCTTTTTGTGTCAGATATTTTGGTATCATGTCTCTCACTTACAGGGCATGTTTGACAGTTGTATTTGTGCCACTTTTAATCCTTTAGATACCCGATGATCTTTTCTAGTTATTAGAGATGTAGTGTCTGCTTATTCTGGAATATCTCAAAGAAATTTGAAGCAAAATCTTGCATGATAAGTACAGCTGTCAATGTGAAGTTGTGAAGAATATTTGACATTAACAAAAACTGAAAGAACTGCGGATGCTGAATATCAGGGACAAAAACAATGTTGCAAGAAAAGCTCAGCAGGTCTGGCAGCATCTCTGAAGGAGAAAACAGAGTTAACGTTTTGGGTCCAGTAACCCTTCCTCAGAACTTTCTCAGTTCTGAGGAAGGGTCACCGGACCCGAAACGTTAACCCTGACATTAACATACCAGTCAGTCATGTCAAAAAAAAACAACCACGGTTCAAGGTTTACTTTGCGTCCACAAGAAGTATTGTTATTTCTTTTGTATTTCAAAGATAATCATAATGTTCATTATCACTATCGCTATATTGATTACTCTTCTTTTCCTGTTTATTGTTCACTAAATTTATCAAGTGGCACAACCTGAACTGTGATAGAATACGTATTTGTTCAGTCACTAAAGCTGTGAAGCATTTCAGTAAGTCAGAGTAAATTTAGCATTGTTCTTTGATAGACTTTGGTCAAGACTTTTGTCTTGCTGTTTTCATCTAGATATTGACCAGTTCAAGGTTTAACACTATATTGTAAGTTTTGTACACTAGGCTGGGTGGCAGTGTGTGCTGTGAGGAGGATGCTAAGAGGCTGCAGGGTGACTTGGATGAGTGGGCATATATTTCACAAATGCAATATAATGTGGATAAATGTGAGGTTATCCACTTTGGTCACAAAAACAGGAAGGCAGATTATTATCTGAATGGTGGCAGTTTAGGAAAAGGTGAGGTGCAACAAGACCTAGGTGTCATGGTGGAACAGTCACTGAAGGTTGTATGCAGGTGCAGCAGGCAGTGAGGAAGGCTAATGGCATGCTGGCCTTCATAGTGAGAGGATTTGAGAATTTGAGTACCGGAGTGAGGATGTCTTGTGCAGTTATACAGGGCCTTGGTAAGGCCACACCTTGAGTGTTGTGTGCAGTTTTGGTCTCCTACTCTGAGAAAGGACATTCTTGCTATTGAGGGAGTCCAGCGAATGTTCACGAGACTAATTCCTGGGATGGCAGGACTGATGTATGAGGAAAGACTGGATCAACTGGGCTTGTACTCGCTGGAATTTAGAAGAATGAGTGGTGTTTTCACAGAAACATGTAAAATCCTGATGGGAACGTTCTTCCTGTAACTAGCCTGTCCAGTCCCAAGGTCGGGGAAGTCCAGAACTAGGGCTCACAGTCTAAGAATAAGGGGTAAGCCATTCAGGACTGAGACGAGGAAGGATTTCTTCACTCAGACTGTTGTGAACCTATGGAATTCTCTGCCTGAGGAAGCTGTTGTAGCCAGTTCATTAGATATATTCAAGAGGGAGCTGGACGTGGCCCATGCAGCTAAAGGGATCAAGGGGTATGGAGAGAGAGCGGGAATGGGATACTGAGCTTGCATAATCAGCCGTGATTATATTGAATGGTGGTGCAGGTTGGCCTACTCCTGCACCTATTTTCTATTTTGTAAGGGCCAGTATGGGTTCTTCTTCATAAGTCACTCTAAGGAAAATATGTAGCATCAGAACCAAAGTGCCTAAAGCCAAACAGGGATTGGCTTGGATGCAAGGGATAATAAAAATTTATATCTATAAATTCCAACATTCAAAGCAGGAAAAGCTATGTAAAAAAAAAACTCTTAAACTTAAATTAACATGTTTCATCACACCAATAGTAACATCACATCATTGTTATCTCCTGCAGGAAACAGTCTTCGAGGACACCTCCTAATAATGTGATTTGAGTAATATGTTAAGCTGTCCGTTGGGTACTTGGATAAATAGATCATCTAGGCAGGCATCCCCCTGCAGTTTGAATAGGTTCTTCGTTAGATTAAAGGATTATTTACTGAAAATGCTTTACTAGGTTTGTTCCATGTTTAGATTTGGTCACTTTCCAAAGAAAAACGAGGTTGTGCTTTTATTACTTAGTTATCCCGAAAAGAAACTTGATCACACAAACAAATATATATTGCTGTAGAATCAATCAAATTTGCTACTGCATTCTTCATAGAGTGAATGAAGCTTTTTAACTTCAAATTTAATCAATATTATGTTATAATCTATTAATTCTTTTCTCTTCTGCAGAATGTTTCGTTAAGTCGCACACGGGAGGAGGCATTGAGTACTGTCCCACATCAGAAGTAAATACAAATTTTCAATGAGTATCTCAACTAGTTATTAAAATAGCATTCATATAGACCCACTGGAATTAATTTACCAAGAATTTAATGAACAACAATCTAAATATCTTTTGGAACTACAGGATTATAATGTAATCTGAGATCTGCTTTTTTGTAGTTTTCTTGATTTTTGCAACCATACAATCTAAAACACAAATCTTAAATCCTGTCAATTACAAGTTAACTCCTATTTCAATTAATAGCCAGAAACTAGCTGACGAAAAGAGGTAATTATGATTGAACCTATTTTCAATCTTGGCATTCTGGTAAACATTGCCCAATGAATAGATGACGTATGGAAAATATTTTCACCATTGGATTGCTTAATTGTGCCATGTGAATTATGAAGTCAGTCTAAAAGTGACGATATTCTTTTACTTCACCCATACCTGACAACATCATGTTTGTCACATTAATAAAATGTTCCATTTTAAAGTTTTTATTCACCTGTATTAGTCAGTGACAGTAATGTGTATAATTTAATATATTTTAATCCTTATTTATTTCCATGTAAATTTTTTAACCTTTTTCTGTGAAACTGATAATGTTTCATTCCCCCTGAGTACAATATTGTGTGTTAAATTAACTTGATTCAAATTCTTGTTTTTTACAAGTCTCACCAAGGTCACTTGATAATCAGGCTCTGTTCTCAAAAGCGTTTGTTTTACTGGTCGTGTAAAATAGCAGCTAAGCCAAATAAAAACCTCACAGAAAATAAAATAGAATTGCTGTACAGCATACTGGGATGGCATACGCTGTCAGATGCCTCATTTTTAAATTAAAATGACACTTCAACACTAATTTGGAACAGTTTCACCAAGGTCAGACTTGGTTATTTTGAAAACAAATATTTCTTCTCAACTGCTGTCTAACTGGCCTTAATCCTGTCTTGCTATTTATAGCATTTTATGTTTGTTATGAGGACAATTTTTTTGATAAAACTAGGTGGGTATTTTGTAGGGTGGTAGAAAAATGATATTTTTTGTTAGCGCTGTTGTCCTGAATAGTTTTGCTTCATTTCTGTTGCATTTATATTCCAAATGTTTTTTTACCAGTAGCTACTATGATAATTTTAATATAACTGGAAAACCATCTAGCAGCATGGAGTTCCAAGAGGGAAGCCACAGTTAACATGATGGAGGCCTCAGTATTTTGTACCAATAGCTGAGTTTAAGCAAAATGACTTGTGGACAGCATAACCACTATTTCAGTTGTGCTCATGTTTTTAACCACTGGCTGGATTGTTAATTGGAAATCAAAGATTTCTCAATGCTCCACTCTCAGTAGGAATTTCAAGATTAGCAAAATACTGATCAGGTATTCATCTTGTTAAGTTTCTTTCCGATCACAAGTGGGTCTTCAAACCTTATTTGTACTACAGTAAAACATGTGAATTTAATTTTAACATGTAAAATGTTATTGTGTCATTTATTTGCAAGTGTCCTTATTGTCAAAGTGACTGTTGCCTGTACTATAAACATTTTCTAATGGAATCTAGAATTCTTTAGTTTGCATTCATAGCAGCAGGGAAACATTTGTATAATTGAGACTGAAGCATGCATGCATTTAATCCCTAAGAAGAGTTTCTCTGCACTATGCATGCTGTGTAAAAAGTTCCCAATTCAACAAAGGCCATTTCTTCACAAAAGCCATTGCACATGTCACTAAACGGGATTCATTGGTTTCAAGAATTTGGGGACTAGAAGGAAATGAGTTTCAAAATAAATCATTGGTGATCCTGACTTTGTTAACTTATCTGATACAGAAGCTTTGGAACCGGGTTAAGTCCTTTCCATGAAAGTGTTTCATGCATTGAACACACCCTATAGTTTCTACTTTAGAGTTTCTGGTTCCAGAATGGCTACTGTACATTTCATCATATTTATTATTTGAATTTCATAATAATTATTTGTTTGTTTATGCAGGAGTTCAATTTATGGAAGAATGCATTTACACAGAGTTCACTGTAATTTGCTTTAACTGCATACAATGGCATTGTTGACAGATGTTAACCTGTCTTAGGTCATCTTACCTACTGTCAGTTCAACATTTTGTAAAGTGATGTACAAATGTGATTGTGCCTCCTACAAAGTAAATGTTTCTCTGTCTTTTGTTCTAGTATATTTTTTAAAGTGGAAATATGTATTGCAGTTGTGAAAAGGAAGCACAAATTAAACCCACTGAGGAGAGAAAGAACAGAGATTAGCCATCAATTAATAGCCGGCAAATTCTTTGTCCCCAAAGCAAAGTGAAAATAGGTCGATGCATCTAGATACTGCAACATTTGTGAGTGTTTTTTGATGCTTTCATCCAGCTATGTAACTAGTGGTATCAAAAGCAAATTGAGTTTACAGAAGTCTGAAGTCTGTTGCTTATATTGCATAGACCGACTTATTTACTGTCAGAAGATAAAGGTCTAAACGCACAATTAGATGCATTGAAATGCACACTGTACAGGTTCCCAGAATAATGTATTGTGTAAACTATAATAAAAGTTGTAAATTCAATATTGGGACATATTTATAAATGTATCTGATAAATCCATCTTTGTAGTTTGAAGTATATAAGGATTATTTTGAGTTCTTAAGTATGTTCAATGGTAGTTTCATTGTCCAACAAGTTTAATTAATTTAACAAGAAAGTTCATCCGAGAGAAATACTATACCACCGTTTTGCATAATGCAGTAGAAAAAAAGTTTATCTTCATTAAACTGTCCATTTTTAATCTAAAATATTTTATCTTTGTACTTTGTTATAATTGGGAGAATTTGTGGGCCATTAGTTAAAATGGAATAATTTATGTCTATGGACAGTTATGTACATGCTTTTCATGCTTTACAAAAAATATTGGTTGATTTCTCCCCATGTGTAATTCTCAAGAAGGGAACATGTACTCATCTCAAAAAAATAAATTCTATCCTTATGAAATAAGCAGTTTCTATCCTTATAAAATAAGCAGTATCTTGACATTCATTTGATTACACATCATTTAGCAACATGTTTTGTACTCTTCTTCCTTTTCAGTCTTTGCTCATTGCTCTATTATGACTATTATCTCCATTGAGATTAAGTTAATTCAATAGAATTTGAAAGTGCTCAAAGAATAAATGCATTCATGAATCAGTAGTATCACAGCAATTGATAGATTTTGTCAGTTTCATTAATTATCAGATATAGTCCATGCATATGCATATCGTAGATTATGAATGTATGAAATTATCTTGAGTTTCCAAATAAATTTGGGTACACAGTGTAAAATAAGCATGGTCCTTGGTTGACATCAGTGATGCAATTTGTTACTGGCTAATCAAGCTATCAAGTAAATGTGTCAGACTAGCAATGGCCTAGTGGTATTGTTGCTAGACTCTCAATCGAGAAAGTCAGCTATTGCCTGGAGACCCAGATTTGAATTTTACCACAGCAGATAGTGGAATTTGAATTCAAATTTTAAAAATCTGGAATTAAAATTGTTGGGAAAAACCCATTTGGCTCACTAATGTCCTTCAGGGAGAGAAATCTGCCATCCTAAGCTGGTCTGGCCTACATGTGACTCCAGACCCATAACAATGCGGCTGACTCTCAACACCCTTTGAAATGGCTGAGAAAATCGTTCAGTTGTGTCAATTGCTTTGATTTCTCAATAAAGAAATGAAACTGGACAGACCACCTAGCATCAACCTAGGCACTGGAAAATTCTGGCAAAAACAGCCTTGTCAACCCTGCAAATTGCTGCTTACTAACATCTGGTGGCTAGTACCAAAAATTGTGTGAGCTGTCTCAGACTGGCCTGACATAGTGATACCCATGGAATCATACATCATAGACAAGGCCCCAGACACCACCACCATCACCATCACATGTTTTGTCCCACCAACAGAACAGATCCAGCAGACGTGGTGATACAGTGGTATCCAGTCAGGACAGAGTTGCCCCAGGAGTCCTCAACTATTAAGTCCAGACCCCATGATGTCTCATGGTTTCAGGATAAACATGGTCAAGGAAACTTCCTGCTGATTACCGCATACTGTCCGCCCTCTGCTGATGAGTCCAAACTCCTCCACATTGAACAACACTTAGAGGAAGCATTGAGGGTGACAAGGATGCAAAATATTCTCTTGAGTGGGGGATTTCAGTGTCCACCACAAAGAGTAGTTCAGTTTCAGCACTACTGATCAAGATGGTTGAATTTTAAAGGGCGTAGCTGCTAGACTGGATCTGTGACAAGTGGTGAGGGAGCCAACAAGAGGAAAAGCATACTTGACCTCATCCTTACCAATCAGAGATAGTAGGAAGGGCAGATGCTGGAGAATCTGAGATAACAAGGTGTAGAGCTGGATGAACACAGCAGGCCAAGCAGCATCAGAGGAGCAGGAAAGCTGATGTTTCGGGCCTACATGCTTGGCCTGCTGTGTTCATCCAGCTCTACACCTTATCTCCTTAGCAATCAGCCGGCTGCAGGTGCAACTGTCCATGACACTATTGACAAGAGTGACCATCTCACAGTCCTTGTAGAGATGAAGTCCAGCCTTCACATTGAAAATACTCTCTATCATGTTGTGTGGCACTATCACTGTGCTAAATGGGACAGACTTTGAGCAGATCTAACAATTCATGAGGCACTGTGGGCCTCAACAGCAGCAGAATTGTACTCCAACACCATCTGCAACCTCATGGCATGGCATATCCCCCACTTATCCAGCCAGGGGATCAACCCTGCTTCAGTGAAGAGTATGGGACAGCATGCCAGGACCAGCACCAGGCATTCCTTAAAATGAGTTACCAACCTGATGAAGCTACCAAACAGCATGAGCAGCAAGTGATAAACAAATCTAAGTGATCCCATATCCGACAAATCCAATCTAAGCTCTGCAATCCTACAACCTCCAGTTGTGAATGGTGGTGGCACCATTAAATTAGAGAACTCACTGTAGGATGAGGCTCCCCAAATATCCCAGGCCTCAATAATGGAAGAGCCCAGCACATTAGTACAAAAGGTAAGGCTGAGGCATTCGCAGCAATCTTCAAACAGAAGCACCAAGTGGATGATCCATCTTGGCCTCCTTTAGTGGTCTCCAGTATCATGGATAGCTTTTTTTAACCAAATTGGTTCACTCCACATGATGTCAAGAAATGGTTGAAGGCACTGGATAGTGGAACAGCTAAGGGCCCTGACAACATTCCCTCAATAGTACTGAAGGTTTGTCTTCCAGAACTTACTACTCCCCTGGCCAAATTTTGCCAACACAGTTACAACATTGACATCTGCCCAACAATGTGGAAAATTGCCCAGGTATGACCTGCCTACACAAAGTAGAACAAATCCAACCCAGCAAATTACCACTCCATCAGTCTACTCTCAATCATCAGTAAAGTAACGGAAGGTGTCATCAAAAGTACTGTCAAGCAGCACCTGTTCAGCAATAACCTGCTCGGTGACATCTAGTTTGAGTTCTCCTAGGGCCAATCAGCTCCTGACCTTGTTACAGCCTTTGCTCAAACAGAGATAAAAGAGCTGAATTCCAGAGGTGAGGTGAGAGTGACAGTCTTTGACAACAAGTCCACATATGACAGAGTGTGGCATCAAGTAGCTTTAGCAAAATCAGAATCAATAAGTATCGGGGGCAAATTCTCTGCTGGTTAGAGTCATACCTGGCACATAGGAAAATAGTTGTGATTGTTGCAGGCCAGTCATCTCAGCTCCAAGACATCTCTGCAGGAATTCTTCAGGGTAGTGTCCTAGGCCCAACCGCCTTACAGCTGCTTAATGAATGACTTCTTCCATCATAAGTTCAGAATTAGGGATGTTTGCTGATAATTGCGCAATATGCAGCATCACTTGCTACTCCTCAGATACTGAAGGCAGTCCATGTTCAAATGTAGCAAGATCTAGACAACATCCAGGCTTGAGCTCACAAGTAGCAAGTAATATTCATGCCACACAAACACCAGGCAATGACCTTCTCCAAAAGAGACAATCTAATCACTGTCCCTTAACATTCATTGATATTACCATCACTGAATTCCCCATTATCAACATCCTTGGGGTTACCATTGACCAGACATTCAACTGGACTCACCACATAAGCACATTGGCTACAAGAACAAGTCAAAGGCTGGGAATACTATGGCAAGTAACTCACTTCCTGACTCCCTAAATCCAGTCCACCATCTACAAGATACAAGTCAGGAGTGTCATGGAATACTCCCCACTTGCCTGGATGGGTGCAACTCCAACAATACTCAAGAAGCTTGACACTCTCCAGAACAAAACGCCCTGCTTGGTTGGCACCACATTTATTCCCATCACCACTGACACTCAGTAACAATAGTGTGTGCTATCTATAAGATGCACTGCAGAAGTTCACCAAAAATCCTTAGACTCAACTCCAGACCCACAACCACTTCCATTTAGGAGGACAAGGGATATGTGGGAACCACTTTCCATCTGCATGTTCTCCTCCAAACAACTCAACATGCTGATTTGGAATATATATAATATTTATACAAATATACCACCGTTCCTTCACTGTTGCTGGATCAAAATCCTGGAATTCTCTCTGTAAGGACATTGTGGGTCAACCTACAACATGTGGGCTGCAGCGGTTCAAGAAAGTAGCTCACCGCCACTTTCTCAAGGGCAACTAGGGACAGACAATAAACGCAGGCCAGCCAGCAACACGCACGTCTTACAAGTGATTAAAACAAAACATAATGTTTAAAGTTATATCAGCCCTGCAACTATGATAATGTTTGGTTGTTTTTCCAGTCAGAAAAATTTTTGAATCTTGTAAATCTGCCTGTCCTAGCATAGATTTTCTCCAGTAACCAACTATAGTCGACTGCAGTCTCCATTTCCTGTGCTGAGTGATTACTTCAGAGTTTGAAATGTGTCATTTAAGAGAATATTTATAAACCAAATCATTTGTACAGTGCTGGGAAATAATTATGACAAAATCCTTGTGAAATTAATGGGGCAGGAAGTTGCTTCTAAGTAGCTTCAAAGGCCTATTAGAGGGAAAGAAAAGTTGCCTGTGTGAAACTATTACTCAATATGAAATATAATATGATATTAAAATAATACAATACACTAGTTAGAGCGGATTCAAATAGCACTGCACACACTTCTATTCAGCTTTGTGCTGGATCTCTCCTCCCCAACGTTCTTCCCCAACCACACCATGAATACAAACCACTAGTTGCGGAAGTCGAACAAATAGCTCCTATTTACAGTTGATTATATGGCACAAATTATTATGAGCAAAGTGAATATTGAGTATTGATGAAAATGACACATTTTGTCGAAGTTTTTTGCACTCGTCAGGATGTCACAAGATTCCTGATTTTAGGGGAAAACTAATATTTCTGTTGCTTCAGGGGAGATGCAAAGAGTTTTCCCCACAAATTGGTATTCTTGCTTTTGTTCTGCTGGGTTCAAAAGCTTTGACAAAGTGTTTTTTCAACAACTCTCAAATCCCTGCCATCCAAAACTATCTGGAGTGAATATTTGTTGTGTACTGTTTAAATAGTCTCTCACATGGGCAATCACATTTTCACCTGCTGGGTGTGGAAGGGTGAGATCATTGTACAATGCATACCAAGATTATTTACCAACTCTGCCCATCCCACATTGCAATCCTCGGCTTAGAGATTGCTACATTAGTCCAGTCTAAAATCAGGTTCTGTTCGTTCAGAAAATCATGGATGATACAAAAATTGGTGGAGTGGTAAATAGTGAGAAGGATAGCCTTAGATTACAGAGGGATATAACTGGACTGGTTAGATGGGCTGATCAGTGGCAAATTCAAGCTGAATTAGCATGAGGTGATGCATTTGGTTGGGACAAACAAGACAAGGGAATATATGATGAACAGTTGGATCCTTGGAAGCACCAAGAATCAGAAGGACTTCTTGTGCATATCCATTGGTCT